CACAAGCGACACAAGTTGTTCCTTTCACGACGAGTGAAAACCGCGTCTTCACGCTTCTTTTTCATTCGAAGGAATTTTTACTGGCTCTAAAAAAAAAAAGAAAAAAAAACATGGATCGTGGATCGAAGCAGATCGATACATTCCACGCAGATTTTTTCCCTTTATCGATATTTAATATTAACGCACACCAGCAGCCGCTGACATAATTTGCCGTTCGAACGATATTCTATTTTTCTCTTTCGTAAGGGTTTCACTCTCTTAGTGAAGAGTGGATTGCAGTTGCGATTCCAACTAGAAGAGGTTTTTAAGAAACTTTGCCAAAGATATTTTATTTGAAAATACTTCACATTGCGTGGCGTAACATTCTAAGTGGATTTCCTTTTCTGTTTAAATCTTGTGACATTTGTTACTTCTCATTTGAAGAAATTGGAAATTTTTTTTTTTTTTTTATTTAAAAAGTAATTGCAATTGCAATTCATCGCTACTTAATTGTAATGTAAATTAAAATATCGAGAGGAGTGTTTGACCAAAAAGAACCAAAGAATCGCGTAGAACAATAATTACAATTGTAAAGAAAAAAAGAAAAGAAGAAAAAGGAAGGGAGAGAAAAAAATATTCTCGAAATCAGTCTGAAATCATGTATATACGAGTACAGTAAGAAGGTAGAATTCACTTTTGAAGAAATGGCGAGAAAAGAATTTCATTATTATTATTTTTTTCTTCTTTCGAACTGTTCAAAAAAGAAAGAACATTCTTCGATTTCGACTTTTTCCTGATCTTTCTTTTTTTTCCTCTTTTGTTTTTATATGCCGATCTTTGCGAATTATTTTTATATCGTTAATTGGGTCTAGGAGGTGAAAACAAAATTTAAGAAAAAGAAGAAGAAGAAGAAGAAGAACAAAAAAGAAAAAAAAATAGTATTATTGTCACCGCCGTTGCCATATTACTGTAAAAGTTAATATATAAAGTTTAGGGGTTATCGATTATAATTAATTAAGTATTCCTATATGTAGTAGCCATAATTATGTATAAATAAGTACGATATATAGAACTTCTAGTCAAATAGAGAACGTACTAGTTCGTTCACAAAGAAGATGTGTAACTATCGGGGAAGCGATACCGCTTTGATTTGTTTCTTGCAGCGAGGATTTTTACGATCTTTAAACTGTCATTATTGAATTTTTTTTTTAAGTTCATTTCGATGTTTGTAATCGATAATAAATGGACAGGAAAACGAAACTTTTATATTTGTACTGTGCGCTGTAGGGTAGAGTTTTCGAGGCGCCAAATTTGAACTGTGGATTAACAATTCGATCGATTTAAAGAAAAA